TCAAGAAACATTTATTAATGCCTCTTATGTGCCAAACACTGTGATGGAGCTCACATTCTACATGTTTTATAATTCTATTTCATCCCTCAAAGTGTCTAGAACAGCACTGACCACATAGTATAGGTGGTCAAATGCCAGTTAATTGAGTTTTTTGCTTCCTCACTAGAATGTGAATTTCAGGAAACCAGCTAAGTGATGCAAACACTATTGAACTGCTATAAACATAAAGTCCTACATCAATCCTTTTCCCCTAGTTCCTATCAAAACATGAGCTTGATGCCCGAGTCACTCCTTAAACCCTGACTCTAAAAAAGCAAGTTTTGTTTTTAAGCTAAGTCATATTTTTTATTTCGAGAGAGGGAAATGAGAAAAGAGGTCAGCCAGCAAAGGGAATAAAAAAAACTGAGTAAAGAGATTTGTGAAATCAACCAGCAGGAAGGAGGACCATGAGGTTGGTAGTGAGGTAGGCAAAGCATCAAAGAAAGTAGGGATGCACCTGTCCCCAAAATGGGATGCTCAGGTAATTTTAATGTTGGATTCTCCTATTGTAATAGAACTAGACTATGCCTGGACACAGGTCAAAAAGAAGGTTCAGGGGCAGCTAGGTGGTGCAGTAGATAGAGCACTGGCCCTAGAGTCAGGAGGACCTGAGTTCAAATCCTGTCTCAGATCAGATACTTGACACTTACTAGCTGTGTGCCCTTGGGGAAGTCACTTAACCCCAACTGCCTTGCCAAAAAAAAAAAAAAAGAAAAAGAAAAAGAAGAAGGTTCATTCCCAGGGGGAAAAAAATTCAGAGACAGGAAGCTAGGCCGGGAAAGCTACTAATTCCAGGCCTGTCCCTCTAAGAAGGAAGCAGGTAGAGGGGAGGCTTCAAGGATAGGTTAAAGAGATATGATGAGGCTTTATGTGGGATAATTAAAAAAAAAAACCCAGAAGCATGCTTACAAGCAAGGCAATTAGCCTATGAAAGGCAGTATAGAGAGTAAAGGAGCCAGCCTTGGAGACAGGCAGACCTGGTTCCAAGTCCCATCTCTGACATGTACTATCTATGTGACCATGAGCAAAAAACTGAACCTCCCCATGTTCCCAGGCAACTCTCTATGACTATAAACTACAGACGAGTCTGCTGATTAATGAAGGGACTTTCTAGGCCAAGAGGGCCTCCCGCTAATGCAATTAGATTGATTCTCCCTCCAAACCAAACTGTCGAAACACACACACACACACACACACACATTTGTGTGGGTGCATATGTACATATGTGAACACTGTATATATGTATATTAATATATGTACCTAAACTATACATATCTATATACTAATATATTACTATTTTAGCTGTATTAGAAATACAGTGTGTATATATTATGTATATATGTATACGTAGTATATATACTGTGCATATACTCTCTGAATCAGAATTTCTTAAACTTTTTTCACTAGCAACCCCTGCAGCGCTTCTTAAACTATGGGTCACAACCCCACAGTGCTGCTCTAAATGCATGGTATACATACAATGGGGAGGGAGGAGGAATTGTTTGGAGTGGAAATTGCAGCTGTGATTGTAATATAAGGGGAAACTCTGCTTGAAAACTTATCACAAGCCTTATCTGCCTCTAAATATACAATATCTGCATATATACATAAGTGTATCTCTCTTAACCATTCTCAGCATCAAGGTTAGGGGGAGGTCTTATTTGTCAACTTTGTGCCTAAGTTCTACTTTCTAAACTGTATTCTATATTCTGTAGAATATAGACAAAGCAAGGTATATGTATGTGTGTGAACACATACATGCACACATGTATATACATGCATATGTGTGTGTATAGATGTGTGAACACATGCATTTACATCCTGGGAGTGTATGTGTCTATCTTGCTTTGTCTTGTCTAGAAAACTATAGAACATAGAATAAAATTTAGAAAGTACAACTAAAGTACCTAAATGACATATAAGACCCCCTAACCTTGGTGCTTATGAGAGGAAGGAGTGAGGAAGGAGAGAGGAAAAAGGTGAAGGGGGAAGGAGAGAAGATATTTTAAGGAGAAAAAAATATTTAGTTATTTCATTTAAATAATAAGCAGAGGTGAGGAGTAAAAAATATATATATATGTATATAGTTATAGATATATAGATATAGATATGGCAAGTGCAATATAAGATCTATCACCTAAAAATTCTACTCCATCCTGCAAACCTCAGATTTGTAGCTAGCACATGGGGAGTTTGAAAAGTAGGAGAGACTAGCTGAAGAAGGAAATGAGGAATGATAAACAAAAGGGTTTGCAGGGGTGCAGAGTTATTATTCTTAATCATGATTATTAGAAGAGGGAGTAGGATATTTAAGAGAGGTGGAATGACCAGAGACTGTAAAAATAACTAAATCACATACTTTTTTTTTAGCCCTGCCATCTAAACCAAGAACTCAAGAATGGAACTGGTCAATTAAAAATTGAGAAACAATATTAAAGGGGACTGACACTCTTCTTCTGAGTGTACTCTCAAATGATTCCTTCGTTTTCTTTCCTGTAGCTTGTCTACATGCAGCAGACGCTAAAAGGAATCCAGAGGTGGAAGTCAGCTTTGGAGACTTGACTTAATATAATATTGGCCTCTAGTGGATAAAACTGAGAAGGCAACAACCTCATGTAAAAGAACATGCTCCTCGGTATTGTCAATTACACCACGAAATTCAAACCCTACAATTCACTTTGCTTTTCACTCCTACCATGTAAATAAGCGAGGTTTTTCTCTCTTCAGGAGAGCTCTTATTCTAAAATGCTTAGAATTAGTTTCTTTAAAATGTTTGTAGCTGAAATTAAGGACAAAGAGAAAAGCGTTTCTACGGTAGTTTCTAGACAGTTGGGTTTTATACTAAGCTTGGACTATCAGAGGGGACTCTTCTCAATGTCTGGTCCATATGGGCCATATACTCTGACTTCCCTATTCTCTTACCCCATATATGCAACAAGTTGTCAAATCCTGACATTTTATCCCACAACAGCAGCAGCCAACCCCTTCTTTCTACTCACAGGGATCACCACTATTCTAGTTCAAACCCTCATTCACTTTACTGCCTGGAGTCAGGAAAATCTGAGTTCAAATTTAGCCTCAGACACTTACTAGCTATGTGACCTTGGGCAAGTCCCTCCACATCTCACAGCCTCAGTTTCCTCATCTATAATATGGGAAAAATAATTGCATCTACCTCCCAAGGTTGTTGTAAAGATCAAATAAGATAGTAATAGTAAAACATTTAGCACAGTGTCTGGCACACAGTAAGTACTTAAAAAAGATTGTTTCCTTCACCTTCCCTCTCACTTGGAGTATTACAATACCCTTCCAAACGGTTTAAGTCTTTTCCCCTCTCCAGCCCATTTTCCACATGGGTGCCAAAGTGATATTCCTAAAGAAAAGGTCTACAAACCCCTCCAGGATCAGATATAATCTCCTCTATCTGGCACTGAAAGCCCTTCACAACCTGATATCAACCTCCTTTCCAGCATTATGATACAATACTCCATCACTCACACACTTTATCATCTAGTCAAATTAGACAAAAAGGCCAAAATATTATCAAGTCAATCCTCCATTTTTACATTCCCACTAGCTTCTCCTACTGAATAAACAGGAGATAAGTCCTCTTCTGATATCCCCAGCAAAACTAACTTGCATTTATTTTGCAACACACATACGTTTATGCCTGAATTTATATGTCTTCCCACCATAACCTACTAATTGAAGTGGGGTAACATTAGGGAACAGCTAGGTGGTACAGTGGATAGAGTGCTGGGCCTCAAGTCAGAAAGATTCATCTTCCTGAGTTTAAATCCAACCTCTAACACTTCCTGACTGTGTGACCCTGGGCAAGACACTTAACCCTGTTTGCCTCAATTTCCTCATCTGTCAGATGAACTGGGGAAGGAAATGGCACACCACTCTAGTATCTTTGCCAAGAAAAACCCAAATAGCGTCACAAAGAGTCAGATACAACTGAAAAACGACTAAACAACAACATCAAAAATGCTGAAAAGCCAATGGGCAATTCATTAAAAGCTTTCTTGCTAAGGATATACAAGCCTGCTCCAGTTTTGCCCACAATAGTCACTGTTTCTCAATTTCTAGTTTTTATTGACAGCGTCAACCCTCTCTTGCTCATTAAATCTTTTGCTACATTTTTAACTACCCCTTACTCTTGTTTTTCTAAGTAGGTTAACACTCGGTAGGAAAAGTGTCTATAACTAAAATACAGGTTGCAAATTCTGCTGGGGCCAGCTCTTTACAGAGTGGTGTTTTTGGAAGTGGTGTTTTTGGAAGTATAGTAATTTCCCAGATAAGACACACTCAGATTTGAAAGTGTGAAGAAGCCTGCCTTCCAAAATAAAACAGGAATCATTCTTGGCTAGCAGCACCTAAGTTGTCCTCCATTGGCATCAATAACTGAGAACAGACGTTTTTCCGCAGGATCTGGAACTGCCCAACCAAGGATATAGAGTTGTGCTCACATGAGGTTCATAGGAAAAGTGAGCTAAAATTTTGAGCACACTGCTAAATGCTTTAAGCTCTCCTAAACACCAGGGAATTCATACACATCAGCTTACTCCAGACACAGGAACCATTTTGGTCTGTTAGATACGTTACCAGTTGGTGTGAATGTGAGCGTGCCAAAAAAGTTACCGAATACATCAGCTACTCTGCTCATTGGTCTGGGTATTCCTCTCACCACCTCAATCTCTCATGGATAGTTTATTGCTTGGCTGGGTTTTGCCAACAGCGTCAACAAACCTTTGTTGACATTTGGAAGGCCAGAAGCTACACTTTGCTCTCTAGCTTTCTTGGAAATGGAAAAGCAAGCAAGATAAGATACAGCTTTGAATTTAAAAGCACTGAATGAATGCACAGATTGAGGAAGCATTCTGCAGAAGGCAGGGGGTTGGCCTAAGTGGTGTCTGTGGGGTACTTCTGGGCAACGGTCCATAGCGAATGATACCTACCATTTCCTTGAACGCGCTTTCAATGGCCCCAATAACAAGGCACTCATGGGGAATCTTTTTCTCTGTAAAGAAACGTGTGGGTGGGGTGCTCGGGGAGCCCGGGGCCCCCACTCCTCCTCGAAGGGAGGCAGCCCTCGTCAGAGTCCGGCTATTGGCTGGGGTGTTCTCAGGCTCCTCTCCCAGGCAGGTTGGGGGGAGGACCGCAGAGTTCTTCAAGATGTCTATAATGTCCTGTAGCTGCTCCACAATGTGATGCTGCAACAGCCGGGATGCCACCACAGCTGCCCCAGATCCGGCGTGCCCGTCAAAGAGGGACCAGTAGTGGAAGGAAATGCCATCCGTGTCCTGCTTAGACAAAAAGAAAGAAAGGGAAATAAGAGACCTGGGGACCACGTTCAGGGGGAACCCAGGAACCCGCTTTCACATGAGATTAATGGTGAAACTAACAGGGCCACAGTGAAGAGAGAGTTAGCTGTCCATAATCACCAAGGCTCCCTTCTGTTTTTCCCACCCAAAGGAGGACCAAAAGGGCTTCTCCTCTTCTGTGAGAGGCCGAGCCTTACGGCAGAAAAAATATTGGCTCTGGATTCAAAGGAAGGCAAACCACAGTCTGAGATGAGCTAAGGTTAAAATCTTTAATGGAGCCCATCAGCATAGCTCCATGTGTTTCTTTGGCTTCTTTGTGTAGCATGTGAGTAGAACAGGATGAAGACAGTAGGAGTAAGCTAGGGCTGGGATTTGGCAACAAGGATAAGGAAAGAAGGAAACAAGTCTCTGGGCTTTACAAATATCTCATTGGATTTACACAAAAACTCAAGGAGGTAGGTGCTACCATTTTACAGTTGAGGAAACTGAGGCAGACAGAGGTTAAATGACTTGCCTGGGGCCACACAACTACTAAGTGTCTGAGGCAGGATTTGAACTCAGGCATTCCTGAATCTGGACCCTGTGCTCTATCCATTGCACCACCTAGCTGGAACAAACCAGTGGTGTCAAACTCAAATAGAAATGGATTCCTCGACTGCATATTGACTTTGAAAATGAGAAGTTAACATTATCTCTAATGTTGTACTGTATTTTTATTCATTTTGTTAAACATTTACCAATTATATTTTCACCTGGTTTGATTTGGTAGTTTTTGCGCAGGTGGCAGGCTGCTGAGTTCGACACATCTGGATGAGAAAACAGAGTCCAGATTGACATAAAACTTCATGGGATCACAAATTCAAACCCAGAAGGTCCTTAGAGATCATCTGGTTCAGGCATTCTTAACTATGGAGTCTATGAGCCGGCTTTTTGTTTTTAAAATATATTTTGATATCTATATTTCAACATAATTGGTTTCCTTTGTAATTCTTATTTTATCTTATGCATTTAAAAACATTATTTTGAAATGTTTTATAGACTTCAGCAGATTGCCAAAGGGGTCCATGATGCCAAAAAAAAAAAAAAAGAAAAATTAAGAACCTCTTACCTCGTTAAACCCCTACATTTTACAAAAAGCTGAAAAAACCAAGGGCAGAGGCAGTAAATGATTTGCTTCAGGTAAGTAAGTTCCAGAGCGGAGATTCAAACCTATTTCTTTGGTCTACAAATCCAATGTTCTTCCCACTACATGATACTGTCTACACATTATTACTTCAGGTCAACTCTACTTCACCATCAAGCCCGATAAACTCAGGCTTCTATTCCTAGGGAAAACAGCATCCTTTGTGACTGGTCCCCCCGTGAGATCTTAAATTCCTTAAGGTTAGGGATCATTTTTTTTTTTTCTGTATCTGTCTTCCCAGAAGTGCCTGACACATAGTACACATCTAATAAATGTTTAATGCCTGGCTTTCTCAGTACAACACCTGAAGGAAACATCACAGGCTTATTTGTCTATAATACCTGATCCAAAATATCCAGAATTTCTGGGATATTTTTCCTACTTTGTTCCAATCCTAGGTACTATCTCAAACTATGTTCTGATTAAGTCCAATCCCCTTAGGTTCCTCTTTTCCACCTTCAAAAGTCTCGTTTCTCTCATCTGTTTGTTGATAATTCTTGACCTCAAAGCTGGCAAAAGTCTTGATTTACACTACTTCTGATTCCTATATGTCACTTTCTGTCTTGAAACAATAATAGCTTTTTCAAAATACACATGTGTATTATAATAGGTAAAATAATATAAAAGGGGAAAACTCAAACCTGAACACTGAAGGATATTCATTATAAGGACCAAGGCCAATTTGGGGACAGATCTTCTTCTATGCAGCTACAATCAGAAGCAGGTGAATGACTGAGATAAAGTTTATGGATTCTCTTATGACCACCGTCAGAACCATCAATGCACTATATACAATACTGCATGCTTGTTTAAAATCATGGGGATGGTTCCCTTTGTCCAGCCAGAATCACAAGGGGTGGACCTGTGAAGGTTTCAACTCAAAGTGGATATAAACCATCTTTCCTAAATCCCCAAATTTCTACTCTCTCAGGAAGAGAGAGCTCTAAGCCCATCTGGCCCATCTAGTTGTTCTGGCAAGAAACTGATGCATTAAATAGTTAACGTACAAACTACAAGGCAGTATATGATTAAGTGCTAAAATGAGTGGTAATAAGAACTAATTTTGTGGCACATTATCATTGTACATTTTGTTGTTATTCAGTTGTTTCAGTTGTGTCTGACTCCGTGTGACCCCATTTGGGGTTTTCTTGGCAAAAATCCTGGAGTGCTTTGCTACTTCCTTCTCCAGCTCACTTTACAGATGAGGAAAATGAGGCAAATGCTTAATAAGTGCTTCTTGACTGATTTCCTACTTCAGCGTATAACAATATTTTTAGTCGTTTTTCAGTCACATCTGACTCTTCGTGACCCCATTTGGGGTTTTCTTGGCAAATATATTAGAGTGGTTTGCCAATTCCTTCTCTAGCTCATTTTACAGATGAGGAAAACTGAGGCAAGCAGGATTAAGTGACTTGCCCAGGGTCCGAGGCCAAATATGAACTCAGATCTTCTCATCCAGACCAGATGCTCTATCTACTATGTCATCTAGCTGGTGTGTGTGTGTGTGTGTGTGCACGTGTATGCGCGCACGTACATGTTCATCAATGGTTTTATTTTTGTGTGTGTCACGGACCCTGTTGATAGTCTGGTGAAAGCCTTTGGATCCTTCCTCAGAATCATGTTCTTAAATGTAGAATATAAAATGCACAGGATTACAAAGGAAACTAATTATCTTGAAATAACAGGTATCAAAATATTAAGAAAACAAATGCACAGCCCTCAGATTAAGAACCCCCCCCCCCCATACAGTGGTTTGGGGCATTAGGAAAGAATTATTTTTATTTCCCAATGGCATCTACTCATCTCATTTTGTGACAAACCCTCATTTTTTTCTTCTCCCACACATTTTTGCAACCCATTTATTTTCTTTAGTAGAGTGAAAAAGAATGTAGGACCTGGGCAGAGAACTTGAGATCAAAGTCAACTCGGTCGCTTTTTTCCTGTTTGACCTTGGGGCAAGACACAACACTCTTGGGCCTCAGTTTTCTCATCTGTAAAAAACGAGGGCATTGGATGAAATGACGTTTAAATTCCCTTACAGTTTTAAAATGATAATCCCACATATATTTCTATAGCACTTGAAGGTTTGCAAATAGTCCCCTCAAAAGAAACCCATGAGGTACTTAGTTTAGGTATTATTATTCCCATTATTATAGATGATGAAACTGACACTTAACTGAAAGGTTAAATTATTTGATGTCACACAGCAAGTAGCTGTCTGAGGTTAGATCTGAACTCGGGTTTTGAGGCTCTAAGTATAATTCCTCCACCAATACACCACACTGTCTGCCTAGCCCAGGTGATAAGTGATATAAGGATTCAAAGGAAGGAATAGTCTATATGGGCTAGCTAGAGTATTCAGGAAAGTTCTCATGAAGAAGATAGGACCTGAACTAGCCCCTGAAGGATGGCCAGAAATTAGACAGACACATAAAGGGAATAAGGTTGCATTTGATGATGGAAGGGAGAACGCATTCCCCTCATCACATCCAGTGGCATCTGTACACAACATAATGGTGAAGGTAGCTAGGAAATGATGGAGAAAAAGACTCAGGCTGACCAAGGTAGGGATGCAGGAAGAAACATGGAGGATAAGAAGGGAAAGTGATCAACACAGAATCAGCATTAGACAGAGCTGATAAAAGAAAGGGGTAGTGATTATTCTTGTTCTGAATCTGAACTTGACTTAACAGTAATATATCTTTGCTAATTCTCACTGCTAAAGAAAAGTGAGGGCAACAGCTTCTGGTTAGTACTTTGAATTCATAAGTAACTAGAAGACAGATTAGTGTTTCTTCTGGTCACAATGACACCCCAAAACAGCTACACAGGAGTTCACATGAAAACCAACAATATAATCCCTCCCCTTAGATACAAAAGGAGCCCCTTTAATGAAGCTGCTATTGGGGGACATAAAAGTATATGTCAGGGCAGGGGATTTGTGCTGCAAAATATGGAAATCCATGTAGTAAGAAACTGGGTTATGATAGGATTTCATTATTTGGGGAGAGAAGGTTATTAAATTATTGTAATCTTGCTGAGCCTTCAATTAAAAACAACTGGGTTGTTCAGGAAAGCAAACCAAGCATTCCTTTTTAAAAAATAAAAAATTTTGGAGCCCCCGAAAAAGTAAGGTTGATAAACAGTATAGGCAGAGCTATGTTACTTACCCCTCTGTTAGTCTGGGGAAGGTTAAGAAGACCTTTGTAGAATGTTTTTTAAAAAGCAGAAAATACATAGGATTAAGGAAACCACTTAAATTAAATACATTGCTTTTTCAATCCAAGTTCATGGGCCCCAGGTTAAGAACTCCTAAGCTAGATGAGTTTTGAAGAGGTCAAGCAAAAATTTAATGGAAAAGTTGAGAGAAAAAATGAAAACCCAGGGGTGCTGAACATGTACTCCAGACATTCAATAATACTGGGTTGATAATTTCCCTTTTTTCCTTGGCATTTACAAAGTCTCTACTACAGGTCACCCTCTGCAGTAAACGCTGGGGCCATAAAGACAAAAAACAAACAAACAAAAAAACCAAACCCTCCCTGCCCTCATAGAGCTTACATTCTCTCAGGGAAGACATATATTCATGTAAATGCATACAAAATGACTACAGACAAAATATTATGAAGGGGAGGCACTAAAAACTGATTAGTAGCATTTAGAGCCAGTACCCAGTCTCAGCCAGGGGTGGGGAACCTGCGGCCTCAAGGCCCTTTGACTAAAAGTTGATTCAGTCAAAAGGCCAAACTTGAGGACCTAGAGGGTCACATGTGGCCTCAAGGCCTCAGGTTACTCCTAATGTATTCAGCTATAAAAAAATATTTCCTAGCAACTACTCCAGTAGGTGTTACGGTTATTTAAATCAAAATGAAACAATGCTTGTCCCGGGGCAGCTAGTGGTTTTCAGATTATAAAATATGTACTAAAATCACGTGCAGGGGGTGGGAGATGCTTAACAAATGAGAGACATCAGGAAGGGCTTCTTGTAGGAGGTGGTAATCTGAATCTTGAAAGGGAGCTAGAGGTTCTAGTCTAACCCAATTCAACAAACATTTATTAAACATCGTATGTTCGAGGTGCTGTTCCAGGAGAAGAGAATACAATTCTTCTACTTACCTGATTCATGGAAGAAACTGAATTCAATAGGAAAAATTAACCAAAATATCAACTATAAAACATCAGAGTCCCAGTGAGGTTTCCCAATTACATTTAATTCGTTTTGGTGGATAGGGCAAGATTATACAATCTAAAATTAAGGATTCAGAGCTGGTGTCATCCCCAAAGAATTTCAATCTGTCTCAGTGTATACAATGCACAGGGAGAGGGTTTTCTTCCACTTACCAATGCAGACTGAATGGTGGAACTATTTTTTAAAAAATGGCACCTTTCACAGTTTCCTTGCCGGGGGGAACAATATTTAAAGCGCAGCTTCTATGTGTCTTATTTCTTTCTTGCTCCTTCCCTCTCTCAAACAATAACTAAACATAAAGATTCACGTGATTCTTTGGTACTGACGCCAAGTGGGAATATTCATCTGATCACTCATCTCCCATTGGGTAGAACCCAGCAAAACTCTCACTCAGCTCTAACTGTGAAACACAACAGAGGGAGACAGGAATTCACCGACGATCACCATGGCCCAAATGTGCCTAGTGATGACTTTCCCTTAGAAAGATGAGTCACCTCCCAGCTCCAACTGGTTCTGATCATATATCAGTCTCTCTGATATCTAAGATGCGATAAAGAATGTTGTGCACACTGGAGAAAAGTATATATTCCCTAAGGTCCTGATCATGACCTCAGGCTGTTCAAAAAGCTACTGCTGGGAAGTTAAATGAATTTCATGGCAGGTTTGTGCATAAATTGTTTTTTTTTTTTTTAAGAGGCCTTGCTTTAAATCCTAGATTCATTTTTGGTTTTTGTTTGTTTTGTTTTTTAAATTAAAGACTATCATAGTGAAAAGGATATCTGACAAATCTGTTTAGATTAGTTAGTGAAAACTAGCCCTTTTAATATTAAGCTATCTCAATGCTGCATCCATTTGGAACATCAGTTGGAGAAGTTCTAATCAGTTCCTTTTGGGTAAGAGAAGTTAGAGACTTCAACGCTCACCTCACTTTATAGGTGACAAAGCTGTGGTCCAGAAAGATGAAGGGCTTTTCCCAGGGTAAGTCAGTTTCCCAGACTCCTGAGTCCTTTGGTAAAGGGGAGTCTGACACTCCATCTAATGTGTACTAGACCCTCGAGGTGGCGAGCCCTAGAAACACCCTGTGAGAATGAGGTAATGCTAATTCTCTTGCTCCCTCTCCACTCCAGGTCAGGGAAAGATTAATAGCGCAGTGACAGTAACGAGGTCGGTGAGTCCAGATGTGCAAGTGAAGAATGATATAAGCAGCACTATGCTTCTGGAATTGTGACAAATCGTGATATGCCAAGAACTTGTTTATTTTTTAAAAGTTGTACTGATGCCTTATGTTGTTTTTTTTTTTAAACAGTCATTTTCTAATATATATCACCAAGATCTGGCCCCCCAAATCTCTCCTGAACCTTGCAATAAAGAAAAACAAGCAAGCCAAACTGATAAAGCAAGACCACATGCAGTACTCCCAGTCCTCTACAAGGAGCGGCACAGGTTTCATTATTAGTTCTGATATTCCAGGACTAAGACTGGTCATGTTTAATCCAAATCTGGCTGCCTTTCTGTGATGGTTTCATTTCATTACTGCAGTCATTATGTAAAACTGTCTCCTGGTTCTACTTGCTTTACTCTGAATCAGTTCATATAACTCTTCCCTGTCTTCCTGGAATCCTAAGCATCTCTCACTGGTAAATAAAGTTCTATGGCTCTTTTCTTATTCTGTTACCAAATGCTAGGCCTTGCTGAGAAATGGACAAAATAGAATGCCTTGTTACTAAAGTTGAACTCCACTTTTTTGGTCTATAAAACACTTTGGACATAATTAGTCCTTGGTATTATGGAAAGAATTGGATTCAGACCTAGGTATAGTAGAAAGATAACTGGATTCAGAACTAGGTATAGTATAGTAGGAAGGTAATTGAATTCAGAGTCAAGAAATATTTGGGCTCAAATCCCACCTCTGACACCACCTGAGTCACCATGGGCAACGCTATTTAACTCCCTGAGCCTCAGTTCCCTCATCTGTAAAATGGCGATAACACCACTTGTTGTACCTCTCTCATGGGATGTTTGTGAAGATTAAATAAGAATATTTTCAGAGTCCTTTGTGAATCTTAAAAATCAGCTGAATATTAGTATAACTGAAAAAAAAGGCCATGTATTTTGTTCAACAGTTCTTCTTATTTAGAGGTGCTTTTAAGAAAGTACTAAAAATAAGTATTCTGAAGCTGGTGTCACATAATTGTGAATCACAAGTGTTGCTCCCTAAAGCAATGGTCACTAGAAATCACAAGGTGAGGGGAAGATAATTAAAACAGTCTGAGTATAGAAAGAAATCAACACGAGTGAGAAAAAAGATAACCCCGAAGGACAACTGTCTTACACAGGTTAGCCCAATAAAATGATCCAATGGGCCAAAGGAATGGGAAGGATGCCCATTCACTAGGTAATCATTATCACCGTCTAGTTGGTACAACATATAGAGTGTTGGACTTGGAGTCAGGAAGATCTCAGTTCAAACCTTCCTACAGACAGTTAAAGACAATTGTGACTGGGGCTCTCAGCCTCAGGGTCCTCCTCTGTAAAATGCAGCACCTATCTCACAGGGTTGTTGAGGACCACCTGAGATAATATATGTTAAGTAAGAAGGAACACATACTTCATCACTATTTCTGAGGCCCAGGACCAAGATTGATTATTATGCTCAACTGGAATTTGGATGCTTTTTCCTGATGTAAGTTTACATTCTGTAGTCTTTTGCAGTGCAAACCTTAAAAGGCTATATAAATGATAGTTAATTCTATTACTATTATCATCATCATTATTATTTAGCCTTGAGTGGGCTGAAAATTG